GAGATCCCCTGAGGCTGCCCCCATGCGGCAGCCGTCGGGGTCTCTGCTCACTGATCTCTTGGAAGACTGGAAACCATGGACAGACAGCTGGAGAAAAGCTGAGAGGCCGTGAGCTAGCTGGTCTGTGCTGGCCCCAGGTCTGGTGAGAGCAGAGGAGGAGCGGGATGCAGTCAGCTCCGACAGCACGCAGACTGTCTTCATCCGCTGGCTGTATCCTGGAGCAGGACGCCAGCCAGAGTAGAGGCTTTTCTAGCGAGGTGGAAACTCCCAGTGTTTGTGTACCTCCTTCTCCCTCAGGGTGCAGGGGAGGGCGGTGCCTGAGCCTGGGGAGAACAGTCACTCAGGGGCCATGGGAAGCCAGGGGTCCCCCAGGGAGGTATGACCCTGGGGGACAGACAGCCACCCCCTCCCCCAGGGATCTCAATGGCCTGGCCACTGAGCATGTGTGTGTGTGAAAGCAAGCACGGGGGCTCTTCCCCAAGAGCCCCTCAAATGCCAGGCCGGCCAGGCAGACCCATTCTGCTTCGCTTCTGTGGGCTCTTGTTTTTGTTTGTTTTTTTTTAATTTGCCAAAGGGCACATGTACTTGCCATAGAGAGACAGAGAGACAAAGAGGGAGAGGGAGAAAGCACCCCCACTGGGGCATACTCGTGCTACAATCCCTCCTCCACCCCTTCCTGTTGGGATGTGGAGTGTGTGTGCACATGTACCTGGCATGTGTTTCAAGCTGCCACTCCGGAAATCGAACCTCACAGTTGTGTGGGATCTCACTCCCTTCACCACCAGACGGTGGGATGGCCCAATTCTACTCCACTTCTACAGGGCATTTTCAAGAATCACTGCTGACTCACCAGTGGCAGGGGTAGCCAGGCCCTTGCTGTCACTTCATTTGCCTCTAAGCCCCACCCCCAACCTCTCCTGAAGGTAGAAGTGGGTCACAGGTGCCACAAGACACAGAGCAAAGCCCAGCGCCCGCTCCTGCCTCTGCGGAACCTGAGTTCTCCACGTCTCCCTCTGCGGAGTGCGCACAGGAACAGCCAGAGACAGAGTCCTGCGAACAAGCTTGGGTCCCGGATCCTCCTCCCCAGGACATGCCACGTCAGTCCATGCCAGACACCCTTCCAGGCATCTAAGGGAGACAGGAGTGACAGCATCTGTGACCAGCTGCAGCTGCAGGGCAGCTGGGCAGCAAGTCCTCCATGTTCTGGCCTGAGCACCCCTGGGAGCACCCCAAGGTCTGCCCTCCCTCCCCTCACCCCTACCCCTGCTATATATATATATATATTTTTTTTTTAGAGGTTTTTGCTATAGGGCGCGTACGCTCACCAGACAGAGAGAGAGAAAGACAGAAAGCGAGAAATCACCTCCCAGGGGGGATGGCCACGCCACAATCCCTTCTCCTCCAGTCTCCTCTCGGGATCTTGGGCACGCACACACACGCGCCCGGCGTGAGTTTAAATCACTGGGTCCGGGACTTGAACCGCGGTCGACTATGTGGGAGTCCAGCGACATAGCCATTACGCTAACTGCTGGTCCCCTTTATATATGGAATACATGGGCGCTTTAGAAAGTTTGTGGAAAAAAGGAATTAAAGTGTGAGGTTTTGTTGTTGTTTTAGAGAGATTTTTGCTATAGGGCGTGTACACTCAGAGAGACAGAGACAGAGAGACAGAAAGCAAAAAATCACCTCCCAGAGGGATGGCCACGCCGCAATCCTCTCCTCCATTCTCAGGACTTGAGAAACATATGCATACACTCCCAGTGTGAGTTTAAGCCACCGGGTCCAGGACTCAAACTGCAGTTGACTACGTGAGAGTCCAGCGACGAAACCATCATACCATCTACTGATCCCAGAGTGTGAATTTATTTTGAGACAAGAGTTTTGAAATACGTACAGTTCTTCACAACCATTTCCGTGAGCTTTATGAAGAACCCTTGTCCATACCCTGTCTTGCATTCCCATCCTTATTTAAGGTGGGGATTCTTCCTGCACTCCCTCCTTTCTAATCGTAGTCAGGACAAGGACGTGTTCCTTGACCAAACTTTAGACAGACTCCTCCGAACTTCTTTTCCACCAGACCTCATCCTCGGGCTCTGTCCTTGACCTGCCGGAGCCAGTATTAGCAAAGACCCCCACGAAGTCACCCCTCCTCTGCCTCCTCAGTATTTGACACCGCGGCCACCTTCAGCAAACCCTCTGTGAAATGGCCCAGCCTGGTAGCGCAGTCCGAAGCACACTAGACTGTGATGCAGGAAGCCACGTGGCTGACGGTGGGTTCGAGTCCCTGGGTTGGCCTGAAAACCTGCGTGGCATGTATGTGTGCCCAAGATCCTGAGGAACTGGAGGGTTGGGGAACGGGGACACTGCATGACGAGACCGTGTTGAAGGTTCTGTCCCCAGCCCCCCCACAGTGGGCAGGTGCGCACACGCTCATATGCACACACATGCAGGCCCACTTGGCATGCCAACCCCTCTGCCGATGCCCCTCGGCGGCCCCACTCTGCTCCGTGAGCATCTCCCACACCTCCTAATATTTGCAGCTGAGCTCAGCTCTTCGCTGCATGGCAGCAGTACCGGGTAAAATCTGCCTCCGCTGCCTTGGTGAGATGGAGTGTCGAGCTCTGCTCTCCTGGCCAGCTATGGAGGGCTGCACTCTGGGCCTGGCTCCTCCTGTGACACAGGCCGAAAGGGGGGCTGTTTCCAGAGCTGACGCTGGCTGACTGGAAAGAGAGTTCTCCAGACTCCCCCAGCTTCTGAGCAGGGCAATTCTCGCGAGAGAGCCCCTGAGCGTGGGTGTTGGGTCTGGGGCCAGTTCTCCCCTTGGCAGTCCTGCTTCCTACGGATGCACAACGAATTTCTTTTCCACAGCAAAGAGCAGCTAAAGACAACGGTTGCCTCGGTGTTTGACAAGAATCGCCTTTTCTTTTCACCACAAAGGGGCACGGGTGCTGATGAGGACTCGTTTGTTTCTAGCACGACTTATGAATATACAAATATAA